GGGGTGTATCAAGGTCTTTTGGATCCGGAGGTGCTGGTGATCAGAATGGTGCCATTGGTAGTAGGCAGTTGGTCATGGTAGGAGCACAAAACCCTCCGGGGGACAATGTTCCTTCGGCATCACGGGAGGACCCTGTTATTCATATGACCAGGTCAAAATTGGACAAGATCATTGCTGAGGCGATAGGCCAGGCTCAGGAGGTGGATAAAAGAGCTCCTAATGAATCATTTCGACAACCTCCGCCACGGCAGCCACTAGCACCTCAACAACAGGTCCCCTTGCATCTGTAGCAGCACCAGCGTTCGGAGAGAGTCGATGATGATGATGCTAGGTCGATAACCTCTCAGCCGGTGGCAAAAGCATAGCCGGATGGGTTGACCTTGGAGAGGTTGGCGGCCCAGATGCGAGAACTCCAAGCTTGGGTTCAAGGTAAGAGACCTACTGTGTCGCGAGGACACCCTTTCGCCGAAGATGTCTTAGGAGGGGATTTGCCTAGCAACTTCAGGGAGTTAAGTTTGTCCTAAGATGGATCAGCGGACCCAGCCAGGCATTTGAGGTCGTTTGACAACATAGTCATGCTGCACAGGTATAGTGATGATGTGAGTTGCCGAGACTTTTTGACGACCTTAAAGCAATCGGCGCAAGATTGGTTCCACCAGTTGCCAGCAAGATCTATCGATTTCTTTGAGAAGTTCAACTCTCTGTTTTTGAATCAATTTGTGAGTTCCAGGAAGCAAGAGAAGACATACCTCCCATTGATTAATATGCAGCAGAAGGAAGAAGATACCTTGCGGCAATACGTAGCGCGGTACACTAAGGAGTGTGTAGAGGTCACCTCTGCCTCGGAAAAAATCAAAGCTGGAGGCCTTACTCGGGGGTTGAGGCCCGGGAAGTGCAGAGATTCGTTGGCGAAGAGGCCGAAGAGGTCCTTTGACGAGCTGCTTGAAAGGTCTAGCAAATATGTGAACATGGAGGAATCAGAGGCGGACTTCATCCGAAATGACAAAACGAAGGCCAAACGGGTGGATGAGGGGCCTCGACAGGGTGATCGGCGAGCTGCCCCCAAGGAGGCTAGGGTCGAGGATCAGTTTTGGGGTCCGAGGTATGAGCATTACAAACCACCTAACGCACCACAACAGGAGATCCTGGAGACAATGGAATAACGAGGGGAGGACAAGTTGCTCGCACAACCAAAGCCTCTGCCCCCGCCGCAGAAGTTTTCGACATCAAAGGACAGGTATTGTCGGTACGACAGTGACTACGGCCATCCTACCGATTTTTGCCGGGGGTTGAAGGATGAAATTGAGCGGCTCATCAGGGCCAACCATTTGAAGGAGTTCGTGATCAAGGACAAGGTGCGCAGGACGATCGCCGGGAAGGGCGAGAGTCACGTGACAAGCAGAGGAGGTTTGATGAGCAACCTGATAGAGAAGTTAAGAAAGGCATAATACACATGATCGCGGGGGGTCCAATAGATGGCGATTCGCACAGAGAGAGAAAGAGGACCTACAGGGGAAAGGCTGTGGTAGATGAGGTGTCGAGGTGCAGGTGCAGAGGAGATAAGCCACTTTGAAGTTTGGAGCTGACGATGTGTAGGGGCTTGTTGTCCCACATAATGACGCTTTGGTCATCACTGCGGAGGTGGCCAGTTACGATGTGCAAAGGGTGCTCATAGACACGAGAAGCTCAGCAGACATCATTTTCTTGAAGTGCTTGCAACAGATGGAGTTAGACGTGAAGTTCGAGCCAGTTCACACTGCTCTCTATGGCTTTCAGCGGTGGTGAGGTCTGCCCCGTAAGCGAAGTCAGCTTGACGGTGGAACTGGGGAGGTCACCTCTGAGAAAGGTGAAGATGGTTCGCTTCCTGGTCGTGGATGCTAGCTCGGCCTAGAACATCATACTGGGGCGGCCTAGCTTGAATTCATTCCAGGCAGCCATTTCTACTTATTGCATGAAGATCAAGTTCCCTGTAGGGGATGAGGTTGGGGAAGTGACGGGAGACCAGTTGCAATCTTGGCGATGCCACGAGGTCACACTGAAGACAACCGAGGCACAACATAAGAGGAAGAAGGACGACCTGCCTGAGTGCTCCCACCGGGAGAAGAAACAAGAATTGGGGATGAGCTCCGAAGACGAACTTATGGAAGTAGAGTTGATAGAGGGGAGTCCGGAGAAGATAACAAAGGTAGGTCGCCATTTGGCGGCTGACATACAAGGCATGTTGATTGCATTATTGAAGGAGTTCTCGGATGTCTTCGCCTTTTCAGCTGACGACCTCACAGGAATCGATCCCGGGGTGGCGGAGCATCGATTGAACATTGATTCAACTATGAGACCAGTGAAGCAAAAGAGAAGGCACTTTGGTGCCGAGCCAGATGTGGTTATCGAAGCAGAGGTGGAGATGCTATTGAAGGCGGGGCATGTGCGACCCATTCAATTCCCGGAGTGGTTGTCCAATTCAGTTATGGTGCGAAAGGGGGAAGGAAAATGGAGGATGTGCATAGACTTCAGGGATCTCAACAAAGCTTGCCCCAAGGATCATTACCTCTTGCCACGTATTGACTAGCTCGTCGACTCTACAACTGGGTGCGAGTTATTGAGCATGATGGTGTTAGAGGTATGCTGTAAAAGCTATGTTTTGCAGATTCTATCAATTCCATTTTGATCTGGCCATCATGTTTCAGTCAAAGTATATATGTTTGCAGTTTATTTATTTATGCAAATCATACTCCATTTCTTATATTGAGATAGTTTTGTTCGAAGTGTTTCGAACAGAAAGATCACCTATCAGTTCCTTATAATACTAAACTATTCGTTCACAGTCTAGACAGGCAGTGAGACCCCTCTTAGAAAAAGACTGTAGTGTATTCTTGATTCAGTTGGTCTTTGACTGAAGAATTACACTAGCACTTGTGTTAAGTGTTGAACAGGACAACAGAAGGATAAGGTTATGAGACTCACTGACCGTTGTTGTAACCTAGACCTTCAGTGATTGATGCGTTTTCTTAAGCTGTAAGATTATATAAAATATGCATATATATTTATTTCTTATTTATTTGATTTACCAAATGATTTCTATATTATTAGGATGACATACGAGGTATTTTGGTAAGTAAGTATAATTATATGATGTGCTATTATAAATTATTTATGGTCACTATGTTACAGTGTGCTGGATTGATGACGTCCCCGAAATGAGCTCAGGAATGTACATTATGTTAAACCCTGCAGGTAGACGATTTTCTGACATAATGGTTAAGGATCTGAGTGGTACTAATTTCAGAAATGAATAAGAAGTTGATTAATTATTTTGTGAGTAATTTAATTAGTCAACGAACATTATATCTTAAACATAGGGAGATAAATTGATCAATCGGATTAATATTATTTAATCATGGAGGCTCAATTTTATTGGTAAAATAGTGGCTAAATAGAGAGAGCAATAATATTACTCTAGTGAGATGTTTTATTATTTAATTCCATTAAATAGGAATTAATTTTATTTTATATTAATTATTTTAATTAGGAGAATAAAATTCCTACTAGAATCTTCTCTAGTGTTAGGAGACTAAGAGAGTCTTCTAGAAGATGAAGATTAGTAGAAAATATATTTCCTACATTATATTATTAATTGGAGTAAAATTAGGTTTCCTAAATTAGGAATTAATTTTATTCCAGGATTATTAATTTAATTAGGAAAAGTATTCCTACTAGGATCTTCTCTAGTGTTAGGAGACTAAGGAGCCTTCTAGAAGAGATAGATTAGTAGGAGATCTCCTTCCTACATTGAGTTAGTATTGGAATAGAATTAGGATTCCTAGGCCTAATGGGATAAGCCCATATTTAGCACCTCCCTAAGGTCCCTAATAGAGCCTATAAATACACCATGTCCTAATCTCTTCTATATAGATGTGTTGGCCGATTTTCTCCTCCACATACGCGCGAGAAATATCTTTGTTGGAGAGTTAGGGAGATTCGATTAAACGCTCCACCAAATTTAATCGAAGTAGGTGTTCAGGTAATCCATTAGAAGGCTTTTTGGTACAATATATTGAGCCTCTAATATAGAAATAATTCCGGTCATCATCATCACATCATCGCCGCCCATCGCCGCCGTGAGCCACTGCCGGAATCCACCAACTACTGCCGGAAACCGCCCGTGCCCAGCCGAGCGCAACCGCACGCATCGCACGCAGTCGCGTATCGCCCAACGACTCCCAGCGACGCCCACCGTGTGCCGCTAGCGCCCAGTAACGATGTCCGCGAGCTCCCAGTCCGCACCTGCTGCCGATCGCCCGAGGTCCCAACGTCCGCCTACCACGCGCACGCTACTCATTCTGCGCCCAGGCAACCCACAACAACCGCCCGCGTGATCCCAGACGCGCACGCCAACGCCCGACGAGCATCACACCAGCGACACGTGAACCTGCTCTGCGCACGCTGCCAGCATCCGCGCACGACGCCCGCGTACCCGCACGCTGTCCGCGCCCGACGCGCACGAGCTGTCCGCTGCACACCGACGCCCGAGACCCACGTGTCGTGTGATCAACTTTCGTGGAACCTATCGATTAGAATCGATTGAAGGCCAAATCTATCCGCCCATTAGATTGTGGTGTTCAGACGAACTTCATCAACAGTATTGTACATAGCTTCAGAGTCGGCAAAAATTTTAAAAGGTAAATGTCCATATCTTATATATAGATTCCGTTGTGTTAGGATTTATTTCAATAAGTTCGATACTGTGCATGTTGTTTGACGTTTCTCACAGAACCCAACAACTGGTATCAGAGCCCAGGTTTAATTCAACCTCGTGCACAGTTTGAATTTTGGACATTGCCTGTCTACATGAATTATGTGCGTACGGACGCAACGACATAGTAGATTAGAAATTGCAATAGGTTTTTGCAGGTTAGGATGAATTTTGTAATTGTTGTTTATTATTCATTATTGATCCGGCGGGCGTGGACCAACCTTGACGGGGCGAAGCGATAAACACGTACATGGATGCCATGGTGATGATCCAATGGCGACTTTCCCGGAGACGACCAATTCAGTGGGAGTCACTGCGAAAGGGGAGTTCCAATACCTGAATCAGAGGACACACTCAACAAGGACAGGACTGTGTTTTCTCCGTAACATTGGAGATTGATTAATGGTCATGATAGTTGGATTATAATTCCTAGTTTATTATTGCCCATTAATCATGCATGTTTTATGTGATTGCTTATGTGCAAAATCAAACATGTTTTAGAAAATCCCTAAAATAAAAATTATATTAACTGTGTAATGGGTTGAAATAAATTACATCCAAGGCCTCCATTATAGGTTTGTCAGTGAAGTAATTTAATTCGAGCCCAAAGGACGTTTTATTTCACAATTCACAAGGACGGATCTCCTTCGGGATGGTTATAGTGAGCTATTTCAAAAGCGTACGGGTCACCCAAAGGTGGACGTATAATTTTGGTAGTAAACTTAGTACCGATTAATGAGTTACACTTAAAGTGTAAATAATTACGATAGTCCCAAAGGATAAGGTCGTTTTTATTCTTTTATAAGTTAATTGCGCTGGCCAAAAGATGAAACCGACTATCAGTTAAGTATTGCTCGGCAGTATGTTAAGCTAATGGGATTTATCCCTCCTCTTGCGAATGTTTGAACCGTAGACGTCCACACTCCGTGGCCTGTGGGGATTCGGTGTTTTGAGGTGTTGGTGAATTTATGTGAATATTGTTACATGGGATCAATATTTGATGTTTAAATTCAAAACTACTTGACTGAGTAAAGACTATGTTTGCATGATCCCAGTAATTCAAAATGTCTTTCAATCCGTTGTCCGTAATTCTCAAAGAAAACAAACTTGTTGGTCCCAATTATATTGACTGGAAAAGGAACTTGGATATTGTGTTAACTGCTGAGGGGTACAAATTGGCTACTGTTGAGGCTTGTCCGGCTGTGCCTGCTGACAATGCACCAGACCAAGAGAAAGGGAGTATGCTCGGTGAAAAAAGGCTGACGAGATGGCGAAGTGTTACATCTTGGCATCTTTGTCAAATGTACTTCAACATCAACATCAGTCTATGAACACTGCAGTAGAGATGCTCCTCAATCTCAAGGAGTTATTTGGTCATCAGTCGCGGGCTGCCCGACAAGAGGCCATGAGGGTTCTAATGAACATGACCATGCGCGAGGGCACTCCCGTAAGGGAACATGTTCTTGCTATGATGGCCCAGCTGAATGAGCTGGAGGTTCTTGGGGCTTTTATTGACGGGGAAACCCAGGTTGATATAGTGTTCCAGTCTTTGCCGAAGAGCTTCGAGCAATTTCGGTTGAATTATAACATGAATAAGATGTTAATGACTCTTCCGGAACATGTCTCTGAACTTCAGTCGGCAGAGGGCCTGTTTCGTCAGAAGACCCAAGCTATGGTGGCCCAGCGGGGAGAAGCTTCCATTTCTAAGGATCCTAAGGGCAAGAAGAGGAAGAAGTCCGCAGGAAAGGGCAAGGCAGTCATGAATGACGCGCAACCTCGACAGAATGTGAAGAAGCCGAAAGGCAAGTGCCACAATTACCAGCAGAAAGGACACTGGAAGGCAAACTGCCCTTCCCTCAAGAAGTTCGACAAATGTACACCTTTTGCTTTAGTCATTGAAACATGTTTAGCGGTGTTATCTACCAGTACTTGGTGTGTAGATACAAGAGCCACTGATCATGTCTGCAATTCATTGCAGGGGTTCCAGGAAACCAAGCGACTTAGGGAAGGAGAAGTTACCATCTACTTGGGCGATGCTAGTAGAGCGTCAGCAGTTGCAGAGGGAAACGTCTATTTGGATTTTGGCTTAGACAGGTTTCTAGTTTTGAAAGATTGTCTTTTATGTTCCTAGTTTTAGAAAGAATTTGATTTCAGTTTCTAAGTTGTTTATGAACGGTTTTTCTGCTACTTTTGATAATAAATTTGTTATTCGTTTTGGCAAATAGTTCATATGTTCTGGTTCATTAGTTGACAATCTATACATTCTAGAATCTAAGTCATCTCCACTGCAATAGAAACAATTACTTAATTTATCATCTAATCTAAATAAGAAAAAGGAGCCTTCTAAAATGAACGAAACATATCTTTGGCATCTAAGACTTGGTCATATTAACCTTAGGAGGATTCAAAGGTTGGTAGTAGACGGGCCTTTGGGGTCATTAGAAGTCGAGGCTTTTCCAACTTGTGAGTCTTGCCTGGAAGGCAAAATGACTAAGAGGGGTTTTAGTTCAAAGGGGCATAGAGCCGAAGATGTGTTAGGGCTAGTTCATTCCGATCTATGTGGTCCTATGAGTGTTCAAGCGAGAGGTGGTTTCGAGTACTTCGTTACGTTTATCGATGATTACTTGAGATATGGGTACATTTTCCTTCTGCACCGCAAGTCTGAATGCTTTGAGAAGTTCTTAGAGTATAGGGCAGTTGTGGAGAAGCAGTTAGGAAAAAGTATCAAGTCATTACGATCAGATCGTGGTGGCGAATATCTCTCGAATGAATTTAGGAACTACTTGACGGATAATGGGATTACGTCCCAGCAGAACGGAGGAATAGGACTCTTATGGAAATGGTTAGGGCAATGATGAGTTATAGTACTTTACCAGATTCATTTTGGGGATATGCCCTAGAAACAGCGGTATACATTCTGAATAGAGTACCTTCTAAATCAGTACCGTCTACACCATTGGAGTTGTGGTCTGGGCATAAGCCTAATCTAAGGCATCTCAGGAATTGGGGTAGTCCAGCACATGTGCTGAGAACCGATACTAATAAGTTGGAAACCGAGAACAGAAGTAAGGCTGTTTGTGGGATATCATAAGGAAATGAAAGGTGGTCTATTTTATAGTCCCGAGGACCAGAAAGTAATCGTTAGCACGAATGCTAGGTTCTTGGAAGAAGACTATGCCTTAGATCATAAGCCAGTAGTAAACATGTCCTCGAGGAGTTAAAGGGAGTGAGTACTTCAATACCGAATGCGCTAGATGTTACACCACAAAGTACTGCAACACGTATCGCTGATGATGCACCTGAGCAGGTAGCACCTGGTCATAGTGGGAGGGTTGTCCGGCAGCCCGAACGGTTCATGGGTCTGGGAGAGTCATCTGAGGCCGTCCCAGACGTTCTTGAATCCGACCCATGGACATACAATGAGGCACTCCAAGATCGGGATGCAGAGTCTTGGAAAAAGGCGATGAAATCTGAAATAGGGTCAATGGACTCTAATTAGGTCTGGGATCTTGTAGAGCCACCCAGTGGCGTTCGCGCCATTGGATGCAAGTGGGTATATAAGAGAAAGAGAGGAGCAGATGGGAAGGTTGAGACCTTCAAAGCTAGGCTTGTTGTAAAAAGGTACACTCAGAAAGAAGGGATCGATTATGAGGAAACATTTTCGCCAGTAGCCATCCTCAAATCCATCAGGATTCTCTTGGTTGTGGCCGCTCATATGGATTATGAGATTTGGCAAATAGATGTTAAGACCGCTTTCCTTAACGGGAATTTGGACGAGGACATCTATATGCTGCAACTAGAAGGATTCATTGCAAAGGGCCAAGAGCATCTGGTCTGCAAGCTGAAGAGGTCCATTTATGGGCTGAAGCAGGCTTCGAGGTCTTGGAACATCCGTTTTGACGAGGTTGTCCAATCGTATGGATTTACCCAATTTCCGGATGAGCACTGTGTGTACAATAAAAGTGATGGAAACGTGGTGGTGTTTCTAGTGCTGTACGTGGATGATATTCTTCTCATTGGAAACAGTGTGAAGATGTTATCAGACGTAAAGGTATGGTTATCGAAGCAGTTTGATATGAAGAATTTGGGAAGTAGGACATGTTCTCGGAATCAAGGTCATTCGCGACCAAGAGAAGAGAAAGTTGTGCCTATCCCAATCAACATACATAGACACTGTCCTAAAGCGTTTCAACATGCAGGATTCCAAGAAAGGGGATTTACCCTTTCGGCACAGAATACCTCTATCTAATAGGATGTCCCCGAAGACGCCTCAAGAGGTAGAGGACATGAAGGCAGTTCCTTATGCATCGGCAGTGGGATGCCTCATGTATGTGTTGGTGTTATATACTTAAGCTTTGCTTTAGTGGATATTACACTTGTTATTCCTTGATGAATGAGAATTATGTTTGGTTAAATAAGTTCCACGTTATGTTGTTCTGCATGTAGATAAGTGGGTCGTCATCGGGCGTACCAAAGATCACTATATCAGTTACTTGCGAAACAAGAA